TAGTAGCTATCAGTGAAAGGCCGATAGATTTCACAGATGATAACAAATGGATCGAAATGGACGGGAATGCTATGACAAACTTTCATCTAGCATTAGCAGATAAAGTATTGTCAAGCATTGAGGAGAAGAAGACAGCTAAGGAGATATGGGATCATTTCACCAAACTGTACGAGACCACAACATTACACAATAAAATTTTCCTTAAGAGGAAATTGTACACTCTCCGGATGCTAGAATCTACTTCAGTGACAGAGCCCTTAAACACACTGAACACTTTATTTTCTCAGCTTACATCCTTAAGATATACAATAAGAGAACAAGAGCGAGGTGAACTTCTATTTCAAAGTCTACCTGATTCGTATGATCAACTCATCATCAACTTGACAAATAGTAATATCACTAGTCTAGTCTTCGATGACGTTACAGCTGCTGTTTTACAAGAAGAAAATCTGCACAAGAACAAGGAAGACATATAAGTAAATCTGCAACAAGTAGAAACGTTGACAACGATGAGAGGGAGATCAACAGAATGTGGTCAAAGAAGCATTCACAAATTTGGTAGATCAAAGTCGAGAAGCAATAAGAATTTAAAGTGTTATAAATGTGGAAAGAATGGTCACTTGAAGAAGGATTGTTGGAGTCTAAATAAAAACTCCAATCCTCAAGTCAATACCGCAAACACTTCAGATGATGGAGATGCTCTATGTTGTGAAGCGTTAACCACCGTGGAAGGTAGAAAAAGATTTGCAGATATATGACTCATTGATTCAGGAGCAATATATCACATGACCTCAAGAAGAGAATGATTTCATCATTATGAACATGTCTTAGGAGGATCTGTGTATAGTTACAATGATCATGTCTTAGAGATCGTTGGCGTGAGAACCATCAAATTGAAGATGTATGATGGAATAATTAAAGTTGTTTGAGATGTGCGACACGTGAAAGGCCTAAAGAAAAATTTATTATCCTACAGATTGTTGGATAATAATGCAAGCAAGATTGAAACACGAAAAGGAATCATGAAGGTGTTCCGTGGAGCGCTTGTGGTGATGAAAGGCGAAAAGATAGCAGCAAACTTGTACATGCTGAAAAGAGAGGCTTTGCTAGAAGCAGAAGCCTCTGTTGCCTCATGTAGTCCAGATTCTGCAATGCTATGGCATCAGAAACTTGGACACTTGTCGGAACAATGAATGAAAGTCCTTGTGGAGCAAAAGCTACTTTCAGACTTAACAAATGTATCACTTACTTTGTGTGAGCATTGTATAACAAGTAAGCAGCACCAGATGAAATTTAACACGTTAAATTCTAGAGTCAAAAGTGTTCTAGAATTAGTTCATTCTGACGTATGGTAAGCACCAATTACATCCCTAGGTGGAGCAAAATATTTTGTCTCATTTATTGATGACTACTACAGGAGATGTTGGGTGTATCCTATTAAGAAAAAGTCAGACGTGTTTTCAACTTTCAAAAACTTCAAAGCGCGGGTAGAACGTGATTCTGAAAATAAGATCAAGTGTTTCAGAACAGATAATGGATGAGAATACACAAGTGAAGAATTTGATGACTTTTGTAGGAAAGAAGACATTAAAAGACAGTTCACAGTGGCGAACACTCCTTAACAAAATGGAGTGGCAGAGCGGATGAAGAGAACCTTGTTAGATAAAAACAAGAGCAATGTTGAGGGCTGCAGGCCTAGAAAAATCATTTTGGGCAGAAGCAGTCAATACCGCCTGTTATTTGGTGAATCGAGCTCCATCAACTGCAATATAGGTGAAGACACCAATGGAGATGTGGACTGGTAAACCAACTGATTATTCAAACCTCCATGTATTTGGAAGTATTGTGTACGTGATATACAAGTCCCAAGAAATTTCAAAACTGGATCTAAAATCCAGGAAATACACATTCTTGGGGTATGCTGATGGAGTAAAGGGGTATCGCTTATGGGATCCCACTGCCCGTAAAATGACCATTTGTAGAGATGTTATCTTTGTAGAAGATAAACTACAAAGAAAAGAAGAAGATGGTAGCGCTGAAAAGTCAGAGACTACACAGATACATGTGGAAAAGGAGGTAGAACAAGGAGATTCTTCTGAAGTAGAACCATCACATGATGAACAATAACCAGAGAGTTTTGAAGCTCCAACAACTCATCAATCAAATCGTGTGAGAAGACGTCCCAATTGGCACTCAGATTATGTTATAGAATGAAATATTACATATTGTCTTTTAACAGAGGACGGTGAACCATCAACATACCAGGAGATAATAAACAGCTCAGATGCTTCACTGTGGATGATGGCGATGCAAGAAGAAATTGAAGCCCTTCATAAAAATAATACACGGGACCTTGTGACACTACCATAAGGAAGGAAGCCAATTGGTAACAAATGGGTCTTCAAAATCAAGCGAAATGGTAACAATTAAGTTGAGAGGTATCGTGCAAGACTGGTGGTCAAAAGATATGCTAAAAAAGAATGTATTTATTTCAATGAAATCTTTTGTCCTTTGGTTTGAATAACAACAGTTCGAGTAGTCTTGGCAATGTATGCTATATTGAACTTACATCTAGAGAAGCTAGATGTAAAACAGCTTTTCTTTATAGAAATCTTGAATAAGAGATTTACATGCTCCAGCCTGAAGGTTTTGAAGAAAAAGAAAAGAAGAACTTGGTTTGCAGGTTGAACAAATCTCTGTACGGTCTAAAGTATGCGCCGAAGTGTTGGTATAAAAGATTTGATTTGTTCATTATGTGCATTGGATACAACAGACTTAATGCAGACCCTTGTGCTTATTTCAAGAGGTTTGGTAATAACGATTTTGTTATATTGCTGTTGCATGTGGATGACATGTTGGTTACAGGGCCCAACAAAGATCATATTGAAGAATTGAAGTCACAACTGGCAAGGGAATTTAAAATGAAGGACTTGGGATCAACAAACAAGATTCTAGGGATGCAAATTCACCAAGACAAAAATAATAGGAAGATTTGGCTTTCACAAAAGAATTACTTGAAGAAGATCTTGTCACAATTCAACATGCAAGATTGTAAGTCAATTTCTACCCCTCTTCCTATTAACTTCAAATTATCTTCCAGTATGAGTCCTAGCAGTGAAGAAGAGAGGATGGAAATGTCTCGAGTGTCGTATGTATCGGCAGTGGAAAGTTTAATGTTCGCTATGATATGTACAAGACCAAACATTGCACAAGCAGTGAGAGTAGTTAGTCGGTACATGGCGAATCCAGACAAAGAGTATTGGAATACAGTAAAGATGTTCTTGAGATACATCAAAGGGACTTCAAATGTTACATTATGTTACGGATGATCAAACTTATTTATCAATGGGTATGTCGATTCTCACTATGCAGTGGATTTGGATAAAAGCAAATATACAACAAGATATGTGTTCAAAATTGCTGGTGGAGTTGTAAGTTGGGTTTCAAAATTACAATCATCCACAACATAAGCAGAATATTTAGCAGCTATACAAGCCAGTAAAGAAGCAATATGGTTGAAGATGCTATTGGAGGAGCTTAGGCACAATTAAGAGTATGTCTCTCTGTTTTGTGACAGTCAAAACGCCTTCCATTTAGCAAGGAATCCAAAATTTCATTCAATGACAAAACACATACGAGTTCAGTACCATTTCATTCGTGAAAAAAGTGGATGAAGGGACGGTAGATATGTAAAAGATCCATACAAAAGACAACATAGCAGGTTTCATGACGAAGGCGATCAATGCTAATAAATTTACTTGGTGTTAATCCTCTTGTGATCTGTCAAAAACGTAAGCAACATGATTATACAAGGTAGAAAGAATGGTGTGAAGATATGATTGTTCCAATCAAATCTTCAAGTGAAAGATTGTTGAAAAGTCAATGCCAAGTTGGTCACTTGGCCAAAACTGTCGATGGTCTGCAAATTAGTTTTCAACATTCACGGCTATTCAATGCAACAATTGTTGAAAAAAAATAAATGGTAAAATTGCTAAATTAGTCCTTGTACTTTAGGATATTTACAAGATTAATCCTTAAGCTTCAACTATAAATACCCTAACCCATTTTGCTTCAAAACCATCCCAAATCATTCTAGTTTTCTCTCAATACTAGAGAAATTAGAGAGTTTTATTGAGAGTTGTTTTCTCCTTTTTTTATCAAGAGAGATTTGTCATTGTTTTCTCCTTATTAGATCGAGAGAAGTTGTAATTACTATTTTCTCATAGTGAAATTCTTCTACTGTTGCTCGTGGTTTTTACCATATATTATTTAGGGGTTTTCCATGTAAAATTTGTTTATTCTTCATCTTCATTTTTATTTTCGCAAATTATCATTTGCTATTTTACTTTATCCGATAGTCATACTCCTCAACAATTGCCAATTTGATTAATTAATTGAAGAAGATAAAAGGAGTTTGCATTTGATGGAAAAGGCACTCCTCATTTATGTAGCCTTAGACCTCATAATACATATCAAGATTTCTATTTTTTTTAATTCAACCTGGCACCAGTTATTGAAATTATTCAGAAAAAGAAGTTCCTGACAATACAGAAAAAGCCATGGTTTTCTCAAATACAAGGCTATTCTTCACTCGCGCTCCAAGAAGAACATCTAGGATCATACTTCATGAAAACGGCTCTCAACTGCTCCTAGAAGAATATTTTTTTTTTATTTTTTTAAGCATAATTTTTATTTTTCATTTGAAGTTTTTGATCGTGTATTTGAATCTCAACTAATAAATTTCAATAATTTTATTTAAATATTTATAAAAATATGATAAGACAACCTGAATCATACAAAAAATCATTATACTTCAAAATAGGAATAAATTTATAATTATCAATTGAATTAGTATTTAATTGACAGACTCAATAACTTGAGATTAAATTTGTAATTGCAGTTTCTTTTTTAATATATAAATACAAAATGTGTACAAAAATCTCAATTTCAAAGTAAATATAGTGAGATTGTACCCTTAACGCAACATTTCATCACAGAACTTAGGGATCAGAGCCAACATTATTAGTAGTTGAACCGATCCCAACTTGCAGCCATGGCGATGAAGCTCCGCTCGTATTGATGTCCTTTACTTCACTTAGTTTCGCTAACTTTGCCTTACTGTCTGCTTCGTTATCTGCATTTTGCAGAGATGTACTGCAATTATTGCTCTTATCATTGTTGTTATCATTGTCAGCTTGCAGTTGGTGTTGATTAATATCTTCCTTTTCTTTGACATCAACTCCTATCCAAGGCTGCAAATACATTTCTGTAGAGACATCAATATTTGATGAATTGATGTGGTTCTGTCGTACATGATCATCGGCCGGAGCAGGAAGATTGAGATCAAGTTTAAGATCGACCGGATCGGATTTGTCGTTGAACTTTGATCTCTGTTGAACCTGTTCAATGCGATTATCTTCAAACTGATGAAACTTAGGCAAAGAGGAAGTGTCGGGTGAATTCAAAGTAATCCAATGACATCTTTTATGCCCACCCAATGCTTGTCCTGAAGAAAAAATGCGGTGACAGATTGAACATTCATGCACTTTTGATTTCCTTTTCGATGTAGAAGCCAATGGAGTGGTACTAGTTCCTTGATCAAATTGCAAAGGTGTCCTAGATTTTGTTGGTAAGAATTCTTCGTGAGTGATATCATCATGCTCTTCATGGGCTTGACTATCGTCCATACGATCAAGCCGGGCTGCGAAACAACCTTTAACCTTCTTGTGACTAGCTCTGTGTCCGCCCAATGCTTGATGGGAATTAAACACTTTCTTACATGCTTTGCACTCAAACAACCTTTTGGCGACGCCTTTGGCCTTCTCCATTGGTATCCTACAAGCAATAGGCGCAATGAAATTCATTGTGTTTCGTCTTTCTTCTTCTTTGCTGGCGGATGCGCAAGACTCCTCCGGCTCAGCTACAAAAGGATCCACGGCGGCGTTAGATAACATCATAAGGCAATTGGCAAGATCTTCATCTTCGCTGGATGGGCAAAAGGAGCTGAAATTACCCACATTACTTCTCAACGATCTTTTCCTTTTAGACCAACCGCACTTTCTCCTCCCAACTCCATCATCACCGTACGAGCCGGGCGAAGAAACAAGCGACTCGGCACAATCCTCGGAGCTGCATTTACCGTGTTCCAGAAATGACTTCCATGACAAAAACTCCTTGCCACAATTCTCACAAACCCTACAACTCTCTAACCGATTAGGGTTGGTTCTTAATGCGTACATGCGCTTGTTGCTTGGTGGCACGTTTCCTCCTAATTTGTCGTCCCAATCACTAGCGGGATCATCGTCGTCAATGTGACCGGTGTCTTCCCCTATTCCATGTACCCTCATCTGCCCACCGAGAGCCCTCCCACAGCCAAACCCTTTCTTGCAAATCTTACAAAAGTGTTTAAAGTTTGATTGTTGATCCACGATAAAAGCCATGCAAAGAAAAATGAAAAGAAAAAAAAAGAAATATTAAACGGATGGGAAAAGAAGGTGAGTTGTAAAATGTTATTGTGTTGCAGAGTTGTATGGTGCGAAGGGAAACTAGTCCTTGTTTTTAGTAAGAGTTATTTCTGGAGGAAAAGTAGATAGGGGGCAATGAAAGAAGAGAGCAAAATGGAATGGGGGAGCGAGGTGACAAGTGGTAGGAGAAGGAGACTTTTTCTACGGCTTTGTGTTGGCGCCGCCGGTCAAAACCAAGGGAGTCGCGTACAACCAGTGAGTGTGGGGGAGAGTGTGTGCAATTGATGTTAGAAGAGATGAGTGAGAGAGAGAGTGGTTCTAACTGCCATACCTATATGATCTATTCATATCCCTTCAATTCCAAGCCAAGGCATTGCCTTCTCCTTCTCTGTCGGTTGGTCTAATCGGTTTTTCCACACATTTCTTACATCTCTCTCTCTTTATTATATTACATTTACTTATTATTATCTTTTCTTTTACCTGAGGCTAAACTACATCATTCATCATTCAACTTTATTATCACTTATTTTAATCATTATACTTTTAATTTTTCCAATCTACTCACTCAACTTTCAAATTGTTCAATATTTGGTCACTTTAAATTATTTTTTATTATTATTATTTTATTATGTGATATTTTTAATATTATTTAATACAAAAATAATTTAAAGGCAAAAGGGTCATTTTTGTCCATGTAATAGACCCAATTTCTCCTATCACATTTTCACATCAATTTAGCTCACGAAGTTGTTCAATTGCATCATTAAGTTAAGGTTTAAAGTTTAGGGTTTATATAGTTTAAAGGTTATGGGGTTATGGTTTAGGGTTATAAATTTATGGTTTTAAGTTAGGGGTAGGGTATAGAATAATACAATTAAACAACTTTGAGGGCTAAATTGATAAGAAAATACGACAGGGTGAAAATATAAGAAAATACCATATGGTGGTCGTCTGTTGTTTGCTATCGTTGGACGCCATCGTCGATAACTGTAAATGGTAGTCGTTCGAACTCAAGTTTCACCGGTCGCTTTGTCTCTACCCCTTGAGTCTTAATTCGACCTCCATTTTGTCGGAACATGCTTAGAATCTGATCGAAAATGAGAAATGCCAGTCGTCGTAGATGGTGGTCGTTTGGTCCCATATTTCATGGGTTGCTTCGCCTAGACCCCGTGAGTCCAAATTCGACCTCTATTTTATCAGAACATGCTCCGAAGTCCTCGAATAGGAGACTGAAAGTGAGGAAACCAAAATGTTTCAATTGAGATTCATGAGTTTTGGGACATTTTCTGGTGAAACAACCACTAGATTCACACTTAGCGAGTCAAAGTGAGTCTCTCGGTACAATTTGTGATCAAACGGTAACGAGAAGGGACAATGATTATTTTAAATCTCTTTAAATTTAATAATAATAAAATATTAGTTTATTATTTATTTTGAAATCATTTTTATATTTTAATAATGATAAAAATGTCACATCATAGAATAATAATAATAAAATAATTCAAAGTGGGTAAAACATAAGTAATTTAAAAGTTAAGTGAGTAAACAGAATGAGTAAAATTAAGTGATGAATGGTGTAGTTTACTCTTTACCTAATTAACAATTTTACTACTTCTATACATTTTATTTGTTTCACCCGAAATAAAAGGAAAAAGCTAATATCGTGCTGCATCACTTAATCCATAGTATTGATTTATCCAAGAAGTGTTAAACATCACCTATACCTATACCTATACCTATACCTATACCTATACCTATACCTATACCTATACCTATACCTATACCTATACCTATACCTATACCTATACCTATACCTATACCTATACCTATACCTAAACCTATACCTATACCTATACCTATACGTATACATAAATAAATTGTTTTGTTCAAATCTTTATGAACTAAACTTGGATAACCAATGAATGAATGAATAACTTAGTGAGTGAAGTGTAGTAGGATAAGCAATGAGTAGGGTAGTGGGAATTTGGTCTCTCCAATCAATCATTGATAAAAAATCTCTTGCATTCCCAAAGCCAAAGTAGCTTCGGTGGTCAATTAAGTAGTGATATTGATTAAGCAAAGAGTAAGTGTTGGATAGAGTCTAGTGCAGGCAATGTTCAAGTAGTCTACCTGCATTCTCAGCTCATAAGGAAATTCTTCACTTCCATGATTGGGACCGTATTCATGATATAATTTCATCAAATTGATGAATGCCACCTACCATTTCATACACTATAGGTGTCAACCGGGCGTTGACTGTTCAAACATTTGAATGCAGCAGCGTGGCGTAATTGCAGTTTAATTCACCTGCCCATTATCCACTGGCTTCTACAGAATAATGGTGTTTGGACACAATCACTTGATTGCATGCACGATTTGCTCTCTAAACATATTTTCTCTACCGTAGATGCACTTTTTACTTTTTTCATTTTAAAAGAGTGATGATAATCTTCTAATGAACTATGGTAACAGAAATAGTGAAAGAAGCAATCTTCTTTTAGGCCGTCCACCCCATAATTTAAAGCAGCCTTGTTATAGTTATAGTACAAATACAAGGGAGTGGCCCAAGCTGTAACTTAATGCTTGGGCCTATTGATGAATGATGATGATGCATTGCTTCTATGCCGGACTTGAAATAACCAATTATAGAGCACACTTTAATTTCTTCATTCAACCACGCACTGAAAATATTAAGGGTAGAACATTAGGTGCATGCTGATTGACATCCATTTAACCCATTGCAAATTGAATAATAAATAAAATCTTTTGACGATACTTGCGCCCTAACTTCAAACAAACCATTACATTTTTTACACACAAAAGCAAAATGGAGAGACGGAGAAACTTTGTAACAAAAATGGCCTCATCAACCTTCGTTCAATGGGAATCAAATGTTCTCAAGGCCTAGTTCCAAGTGCAAAAATTGAATATTTATCTAACCCAAATAATGCTACATTATAACATGCCGCCTCGCTTGGTGAAGCAGTCTTTGTTTCAATTCAGTTAGAAATGAAGATACTCCTTGTGGCCTTGTCTGCAAAGAATTTAAGAGGGTTTCATTAATGGATTACAGACAAGAATATTAAGTTTCCAGCTTAATGTAAACCCATTTCTCATATCTGAAAATGTTAAGATTAAAAGCACAGGCTGAAGTAAATAATGAATTTGGCTACTCATTTACATCCGCCTTCATCTGTTCTGCTTTAAGAGCAGCATCATCAACCTCAGAGAGAATGCGAGGGGATTCCCTAATTTCTGGAAGCAAATCAATCTGCAGAACAAATTATCAAAGAACTAATTTTCAAAAATAAACAATCTGGAGATGAATAATCAAAGATCTTTAAGTTGGGAGTACAAGGATCCGATACCTCATATTACGTGGAAAAGCACCAAGGATGATATGCAGCTTGGAGGAATCCCATGACAAAAGGTAAAATGACAATCACACAGGAACTCAGGAAAGTCATGAAGCAGCACCCTCAGTGTTCCTTTATACACAAAATGAACCTATACATATAGCACAAGAGAGAATAAGTAAACAAACAGTGAAACCAATCTTAAGCCAGAGGCAAACCGGCGCTCCAAGCTCAGCATTCCTGCTCCAGGAACTGAAGCAAGTCCACCAGCAATCTTGGAAAAGATACAACAGACTAATACTCTGCAGAGCAAGAGAATTCAATTATATGAACCTTAGAACACCCTTAAGAGTCCTTGATCCCCTTAACTTTTCAATCCAGCCAATATCATGTTTTCAACTCCATAGGAGGTTGGTTAACAGCAACATACCCAACTAATTAGCTCCTTAACAGCTAGGAGAGCACTGACATGAAGACTGTTGGATGCATTCTCATATAAGCCTTTGAAAACCTTGTAAACAATGAGAAACAGAATCAAGGATTAGAAGCATTTGAGAGAGAGAGAAAAATAACCCGCAATGGGTAAAACACCTTTTGAGCCACAACCGAGTATGGTTTCAGAGATCACTCCTAATGTAGAAAAATGCCAACAAATAAGTTTTTGTTCAAATAATTTATCCAAACAAAAATGAAAATTTGTTTCTGGAAAGGATGGCACTGTATAATACAACATTAGGTCTAGCTGCAGTAAACAAAAGTAGTTGCAGAAAACATTTTACATTTTTGAAAGAAAATCCCCGTAATTTCAATGCCCCTCCAACTCCCATCATAATCCACCTCCCTTCAAAAAGTAAAATATATGATTTTGTTGGAATAAATAGTGATAAGTGGGATTGCTCATGGAAGTAGTAAATAAAATTGCCATATTGGAAACAACCAAAAGAAGCAATTCCACCCACGTACTTGTCACTTGATAAACGTACTTTCCTCGTACGCTTTAACTTGTGTCCACAGATGGCATGAATATGACATTTTAACCGATTCCCTTGTTCGTATTTCCTAAACTCATCTACTTTATTTCTCTCCTTGGATTTCAAAAACAAATTTTCAACCCCCTTCTTGTTTTCATGTATCAATCCCATTCACTAACTTAGTTTGGTCACAGATGACGTACTTGGTACGTTGGACCAATACTGTCTCTTTTCTTTTCTTATTTTTAAGAAATTAGTTTCATGCATGTTATGTGTTGCATAAAATGCATCGCAAGGTGACATTTGCATCACGCTTATTTGGCTGAAAACCATGGAGGAAGGTGGAATATTGAAAGAAAGAAAGAAACTTCTTTTTACCACGTCTCAACATTTGAAAGAATAATTACTAAAGTAAAATATTTTAAGGAAACCCTAAACATGTATGTAAAACTCTCATCAACACCTAAAGAGATATAGATTCTGAATCTAATTTCAAAGGGCTTAAATTATAACCTCTCAAATCAAAATACAAATTTTACCATAGAAAGAAAATTGAAATATTTTTCAAGGGTTTAATGATAATTTAAATATATTAGGAGCCATGGCCAGTACCATTTTTATCAACATTTTTCTATATAGTTGCATGTAAAT